TTCGTCGCGTTGTGATGACGTCACATACGCGATTTCGTCGACCGCGCTTTTGTGGAACGCGGTTTTGACGAGTCACGCCATAGCACACCAGGCCCTCCTGTGCTCCACTGTTTCCCGGAGTTTGCCCAAATTCATGCTCGTTGTGGCAATGACATTATCCAACCATCTCATCCTCTGCAGTCTCCTTCTCCCTTTGCCTTCAATCTTTCTCAGCTTCAGGGTGTTTTCCAATGAGTCCTCTCTTCTCATGAGGTGGCCAAAGTATTTGAGCTTCAGCTGCAGGATCTGCAGCCCTTCCAAAGAATACCCAGGGTTGATTTCCTTTAGGATTAGTAGTATATGAAAAATATTGGATTTCTTTTTTAAAAATGGGCAAACTGTCATGATCTGGAATACCATAAACAACTTTCTGTTCTGGGAAAATTAATCTCAGAATACGAGGAACTGCTATTAGAACAGCCAAACCATACTACAGATTTTACAGATTTTACATACTACAAATTTTATCATTTAGAGGTTTGTCAAACTGAGCAGAATCCTAGCTAGAGGATCACCCGAACCCGTGAGAAACCCCCAGCAGCTCGGCCCTGGAGCATGTCCTTTGATATAGTCAGTCAATATACCCCAAAGATTTTCCTTGAATCTCATGAGATAACCCCAAATTCATAATATGTAACTTTTTTTTTGCAAATGGGTGCTGACATGTTGCAATCGAATATGTTTGGCTTTAAATAACTCGTGTAGGATATGTGTTATGTTTCAGTATAAAGTAACTTGCTGGACTAAATTAATAGATCCATTTTCCCCCTTATATTCAGGTCAGAGTAATTCCAAAGTGATCGCTCACATAGGTGAAGATGATTTCACAGTGAGGATCAATACAGATGATGAAGAGGAATATAATGTTGAGGTATATCTCATTGCAAAAATCTACACGTGGACAAATCATTGCTTTAACTTTCTTTTCATAGATTGCAATATTAAATTTTGATACAACTAGTTTTATCAAGAAGTAGCCTGAATGGAAAATTATGCATAGAGGTAAAATTCTTCCTGGCTTTGGAATATGATGCTTATGCAAAATCTAAAAAAAAAAAAACCACACATTATACCATTCTGGTTTTCTCTCTTGCTGTAACTATTCATCTGCTATAGGATCAGTCTTGCTAATTTTCGGCCCCTGTGGCCTTCTGCAGCACTCCGCCGGCTGAAAACGGGCCACAAGGGTGCTGTGCGCAGTCCCCCGCATCCCATTTTGGCTCGCAGAATCATTGTGGTGACAGGTCCTTTGATATTTCTGCAGGCCAGATCTAAGCATCTCGCGGGCCGGATCCAGCTCACAGACCTTGAATTTGACACGCCTGGCTTAGAAAATATTTGTTTAAAAACGGCCATAAATTTGTTTTAGCCTGCAAGCTACCTGGAAAAGGGGACATATGATCCAGATCCAAAGTTCTGATTGACAGCCACCTCCCTGCTGCCTGTGGTCACATGACTGGACTTCAGGTTCTTTCCAACATTGATGATTTCTTGCAGCATCCTGTGCTCACCTGGCTGCATTTCAAGCCAGTTTTGCTGAGAACCGCAAATACTTTCAGTTCACTTCGTGACCTCAATGCTCACTTAGTGACCACTGCTGCAAAAAATTATTAAAAAAAGCTATAGCACTTAAACTTATATATTAACTCCATAGTGTGCTACAACACTTTCTGAACGGTTTACAAATGCCACCATATTGCCCCCAACAATCTGACTCCTCACTTTACTGACCTGAAGAATGGAAGGCTAAGTCAGCCTTGAGCCAGTCAAGATCAAACTCCTGGCTGTGGACAGAATTTGCTTGCAGTACTGCATTCTAACCACTGCGCCACCATGGGTGTTTAAAATGGTTTTACGACGGCTGTAATTAACAGCCATAATGGGCAGGCTCCATTATGGTCATAACTTGAGGACTATCCGTTTTCCAGTTAGCACACCTTTTGAGCATCTTCTATATTTAAGGTCCAGTCAATTTTTTTATCCATAGTTCCATGTAATAACTTCCTTCCTCTCATTGTAATTCTCAGTGTTTTTCAAATATTTTGCAAAACAGTCTAAGAAACGGTTTCCTCGGGTTCTTATAATTGCACTTGTGCCATTTTATTTTTTGTCTTTGTGAACTTTTGCCCAGAAAAACAAATTATAGTTTGTTTAGGTTTGGATAAAGCGTAAAATTGTAGTTAGTGTAAAACTGAAGTGATAAGTTAACAAATTTCTCGTAAAGTGGATGTTGGAATGAGTAGGAATAGTATATGGCCTAAATCCTGGCTCAGTACTAATAGTAATTCTAATAAATATAATGAAATTATGTTGAAACTCATCAAGGCTCACATCGAATGGAGCTATTTATTTTAAAATGTAGCATTATTTTTAAATTCATGATTTTGGCAATCTTATTTTAAAGAGAACGGATAGGGTATTAGCTATATTAACTAGCAGATAATTTTACTTCATGTGGAAAAAAAACTCCAATCTATTGTATACTTACAAAGCCCCATAAGGTGGTTTGGAACATAATTAGATATACATCACAATCATAAATAATTATTTTGAAGAATATTAAGGTTTAGCGTATTTAGTTCTTCAAATTTCTGAACTGACAATTTTTGCTAAGTTGCTCCACTTAAGCTGAATTTACTTAAAATGCGTTCTGTTGAACTTAGTGTAGCTTATTTTTGAGCAGACCTAAAAAAAGATTTCTGTGATACTATTTTTCTATTCTAGCCCTTATGGAGATTTCTCAACAACACAGAAGATGGAAGGCTTTTGATATATAAATCTGAAGATATTAAGGATATCTCACGATTGCAGTCCCCCAAAACATGTGGTTATGTCAAACTAGAAGAAGAGAGCCTTTGGGGAGGAGGGCTCAAGGATAATCATGTAACTAAAGGTAAGCATCCAATTATTTGCAGTATCTTTTCAAAATTATGTAAGATTCTTCTGTAACAGCATAGGGAGTACAGATAATCCTCAAGTTACAACCATTTGTTCACCGACTGTTCAAAATTACAATAGGGGTAAAGAATGGACTTATAGCCCATGTCCTTGTTATGGTTATGGCAGCATGCCCATCACCATGTCATCACAATTTGAATTTATTAATTGAATTTATTTATTTATTTATTTATTTATTTGTCTGTCTGTCTTGTATGCCGCCCACTCCCGGAGGACTCCGGGCGGCTCACAATAGACAAGGAAAAGGGGGAAAACGAGACAAAGACAACATATTAAAAACAAAACCAACATTCACAATTTCTATGGAGGTAGATGCTTCTCAGCTCCCCCCAGC